ATGCACTTTTGATTACGAAGAAAACGTCTCCCCCCTCCTCTCTTTTTCTCTCTCTCTCTCATTCACGGAGACAACAATCGGGGCAACAAACTGACCTAAACATACAAGCGACCGTCAGATATCTCCCGTGGCGCGGGTCGCAGGCCGCCATCATGTTCTTGGCGTCAAACATCTGCTGCGTCAGTTCCGGTACGGTGATGGCCCGGTACTGCTGGGAACCCCTGGAGGTCAAGGGCGCGAACCCAGGGATGAAGAAATGCAGGCGCGGGAAAGGCACCATGTTGACGCACATCTTCCTCAGGTCACAGTTCAGCTGGCCGGGGAATCGAAGACAGGTGGTGATGCCTGACATGGCGGCGGAAATCAAGTGGTTCAAGTCCCCGTACGTCGGTGTCGTCAATTTTAGAGTCCTAAACGAAAACCAATGAGTGGAAAAGGGACCATTTTTATGCTTTGATGCTAATAAGATACCCAGTGTAGGCCTGTTATTTTCGATAGGTATTCTGGTCAACATAATAACTGACGCCTTTATTTCACAGGACACTTTCATGGTATTCATATCAGGAAAGGTCGACCTGGGAGACTTAGTAAATTTTAAAAGTCTATCCCATACAGACTGGAACCTAAAATATTTGGGTCAGCAGGCTCGCATTTAGTCACTACCTTAACGCGGCACCTCACTTTTATGTTTAAATTGCAGTTCTAGTGACGGACTGTTTCTTCTGACGCCTTTGATGACTCCCTTATGCAGTTGGTGCCTGTGCGAACTTCTTGACTGTGCCAGACTGCCCTGTTTAACTGTTGTCAAATGGGACATGTAGTGGCATTTTGTGTGGCTTTCGGAGTAACGGAAAAATCCAGTCGCTATGCAGTTGGAATCCCGACTAATGACTAACATGTACTTTATATTATAATGGTTGACGTGTCAGAAGGAATCCGCATGTTATGAGAAGGAGAAAACAGGTACACCGTGACAGCTGGAAATCTGGAGGCAGAGGGAGACCGAGAGATAAAACGATAGACATAATAACATCGTTGCCTTGAAGATCATCTGTGTCAGAACTGTTGAAAGGACACAAGACAGAAGGTTGTGGAAAGACATGAGTACAAACAGCAGGTGGTGTGGACTATGTGAAAAAGACAATTAAGGCAACTTTGACACAACGAAACAAACCTGAAACAGATGTCGTAGAGAGCCTCGTTGTCGATGATGTATGTCATATCTGTGTTTTCCACCAGCTGGTGGATGGACAGCGTGGCGTTGTAGGGTTCCACGACCACGTCGGATACCTGCCAAATGGTCAAGCATTTAAAGTCGAGAAGATCGACTTCATTGCACCAGAGCAGTAGCTTTTAGCCCTTTTCAGGTGGCGCAACCTGGAATATATGGCAAGGCACTTCCTCTCCCACAGTGACGTAGTAAGCTCAGGTGGAATCCTATGCTGAAAACTTCCCGTCAACCCCCCCCCCCCCCCCCCACACACACACACACGCGCGCAAACACCCCCCCCCCCCTCCCCAATTTTTTTATATAAATTTCTTTTTTTTTAAAAAGAGAAGATCGATGTACAAACTGCTAACGAAAACGTCCTAGGTTGAATGTCGTCGAGCTTTCTGTTTTTGCTTTCACATGGACTTTGATTTGGTTGATTATAATAGATTATTACAAGTGCAGATGGACTCAATTTCAAAATTGCTTGACCCACCGCCCCTACCCTCCACCTTAAAAGATCCTTGCGTCCCCATGATGAAACCACTGTATTAGCGCTCTAAAGTTTACCAATGCAATGTTCATGAGACACCCGCGACTGTCGCTAGGTAGTGTCTTACTTTGTACTGAGACTCCCGCGACTGTCGCTAGGTAGTGTCTTACTTTGTACTGAGACTCCCGCGACTGTCGCTAGGTAGTGTCTTACTTTGTACTGAGACTCCCGGGACTGTCGCTAGGTAGTGTCTTACTTTGTACTGAGACTCCCGGGACTGTCGCTAGGTAGTGTCTTACTTTGTACTGAGACTCCCGCGATTGTCGCTAGGTAGTGTCTTACTTTGTACTGAGACTCCCGGGACTGTCGCTAGGTAGTGTCTTACTTTGTACTGAGACTCCCGCGACTGTCGCTAGGTAGTGTCTTACTTTGTACAAAGCTCTTGCCAGCGGGCTAGCCGTTCAAAGAAGGGGATCAAGCCAAATGGGATGACCCCTGGTGCAGGGAAGTCAATCCTGTAGGCTTTGAACTTACTTGAAAATAATAACACTGTTTGAAAACAGACAGACGGACAGACAGACAGACAGACAGACAGACAGACAGACAGACAGACAGACAGACAGACAGACAGACAGACAGACAGACAGACAGACAGACAGACAGACAGACAGACAGACAGACAGGCAGGCAGGCAGGCAGGCAGGCAGGCAGGCAGGCAGGCAGGCAGGCAGGCAGGCAGGCAGGCAGGCAGGCAGGCAGGCAGGCAGGCAGGCAGACAGACAGACAGACAGACAGAC